CCGATCTAGGGTTTACTCTCCGGCGACAATGATCCACCTTCTTTACTCGGTGATCTTCGCCGAAATGGCTCTAATCCTGCTTCTCCTCTTCAAGACGCCTCTCCGAAAGCTCATCATCCTCACCTTCGATCGCATCAAGCGTGGTCGTGGCCCCGTCGTGGTCAAAACCATCGGAACCACCGTTTTCGTCGTTCTAATGTCGAGCGTCTACAGTCTCCTCAATATCCAGCGTCGATCTGTCGACGGTGCTGCTCTTAATCCTACTGATCAGGTCCTCGCCTCCAAGCATCTTCTCGAAGCTTCTCTAATGGGTATTTTTCTCGATCTTGTTCATGATCAATAATAATTACTTATGCTTTATGAAATTAGTAAGAGTTGTGTTTGTAGGAACGAAATTGTAGAATTAAGGAGTGTAATTAGGTCAAATCATGATCCTTAGTATTCCCAAATATGAGATTTCGTTTTGAATGAGTTATTGAACTGTTTATGTATATGGATTTGTGCAATTAAGGAATGTGATTAGGGCAAATCGTGATACTTAGAAATTCCCTCATATGATTTGATCATTAGCTATCCAATACGAATCTGATTTGCTTAGGGTTTGCTATCTCTTTTGGTTTTGGTTTTGATCGAGGGTCTTTATGTTTCAGGATTTGTGCTGTTTCTGTCCCTCATGATTGATCGACTACACCATTACATCAGAGAACTAAGGTTGCTGAGGAAGACAATGGAGTCTGCTAAGAAGCAGAACAGAGGATTTGAGGATGGGAAGAACACGAGCGGAGAAGAAGTTAAAGCCCTCGGGGAAGAAATCGCGGGGCTAAAGGCGAAGATCAAGAAACTGGAGTCGGAAAGTGAAAGCAAAGGCAAAGAACTTAAAAGTGCACAAGCTGAAACAGAGGCTCTGAGAAAACAAGCTGATGGGTTTCTTCTAGAGTATGATAGGTTGCTTGAGGATAATCAGAATCTCAAGAACCAATTGGATTCCATTGACCAAAGTCCAGAGGGTAAGAAGAGTATGTGAAAATACATAAGGGAAAAAATGTAAGATTGTGTTTTGTAGTAGAGAACAAAAGTAACTGTTGGAACTATATTTGTGGTGGCAATATATGCATTTTGCTTAGGGTACATTGGTTTTGAGCTATTGGGATTTTAATATATGAGGAAAAGGTTTATGAGTTGATTATAGTTCTCTTGTTTTTTGCACTCCTGCCGCAAAGGTAGCGTTTGATTTCGTTGCACCTGAAAATTTCAGTGGATGTTTACACTTGATGAAGAAATATTGTATATTTCGATGAAGGATGGTTTCATAGAACCGGACAATATTTTTTCATCAAACGTAAACATTCACTGACATTTTCAGGTGAGACGAAGTCAAACACCACTTTTGTGCAGGACTGCAAGAAACAACAGAACTAAGATAAACATTTTTCCTGAGATATGAAAACCCCAATTGCTCAAACCATTGTATCCTAAACGAATAGCAAATATGATTTTCTGATTTTTGCTTCATGTAATATGCTATGTCTTCAAATCTCTTTTGTAAACTAGTAGAGGTGCTATATTACCGTTTATATGAATCCTCAATGAGCAAACAAACAACACATAATGAGCACACGCAAGGTGCCAAAAATGATCTCTGATTTATTCCTCAAGTTAAATTGACATATTATATAATCGACAGGATTGGGTAAAATCACATTCCAGGGTTTGATATAAACAAAAGGTTATTCACAAACCATGACAAAGGGATCGCAATACAATGTCTCATAACATCAATTTCAAAATGAAGAAAGTTTGTTTTCAGGTCTGCTAGTTTTTCACTTGGAAACAGAGAAATGTGAACAGATAAGAAATAGAGCAAAACAGAAGACGTGCATCCTCCTCCTATTGCTTGAACTATCGTTTGGTCTCTCATCTCATCACTCTAGCTTCTCTAATTCTGACATCCGCTCAATGATCGCCTGCAACAAAGAGAGGATGGCGAATTTTCAGTTTAGTGCCAACAGTTGAGAGAAACAAAACCTTGGATAAGGGTAAAAAAACAGAAGGTTTTATACTCACCCGCTTGCTTGTTTCTTGAAGCTCCCCGGCAAGAATGAATTCGTCGAGTATCAAGTACACCTAGATGAAACCATCATTGTGTCTTAGTAAGTAATGTAGTAACAAGGAACAAATATATGAACACAGCAATTTAGAAGAGATACAAGTTTGAAATGGTAATGCTGGTGAAGAATAGTCACTGAGCATTTTCCAAAAAGCCCTTAGTTAGATATCAGGAAGAATTTGCTAATCATAGGTAAAGAAGAAACAATCACACAATCATTCTCTCTAATTGTTCCTAAATATTAACGTATCAAATATAACCATGCAAACTGAGTGACGAGGTCCACAGAGAATCAGAAGATTGAAACTGTTTGAGAATTTACAAAAGTGATAAAAGAAAGAAAGAAAAATGTTTTGGTAACCTTGTGGAAATTGAACACCAAATCAAGCTCACAAACATTGCTGAAGAAATGGTCCAAAATCTCAACGAACAAGTGGATGCATTCGAGGTAAGCCAACTCATTGTCCGTTATGTCGACACACAAGGAGAAAAACAAGCCAGCGTATCGCCGGTATATGACCTTGTGTGTTCTAAACTGCAAAGTAATGATAGCAAAAGAGTCACTCAAACATGAAAATGGTTTGACAAAATTAGAGAATGAGACCAACAATGTGATGCATATAGCATATAAGCATGATTCTAAAACCCTAATCAGCTTGTTAGCTTGGAGTTAATTCCAACAACTACGTCTCTAGAAACTCTAACAAGAATCATAATTCTAAAACCAAATAACACAGGATGATTTTGTTAAGCAAAACCCAGGATGAGGAACAAAAAACCCACAAACCTCAACGAAATTGGTGAACTTTGAGTCGCGATTCACCACCAATCTATGAACCTGAGAGCAATTGAAGAATCAGATAACAAAACAAGACGAGAAACACAAGCGTGAAGAATAATAT